CCAACTGCAGACGAAGTGGAACAACCTTATTTTCGAATTCTGCAAGCAACTGGGATCCAGGCTGCTCTCAGATCAGTCACTTCAACAACATAATCAAAGTTAAATATGCCAGCTGTGCATAAAGCATTTTAATATGCTGCACGGACTGGAAAATAGCTCGAAGAACCAATGTTATTTTTCCATGGCTGGGATGTCACTGTTGAGCAGCTGCATTATAATCATCTGCAATCAGCAAAATACCTTTTTTAAAAAAAAAAAAACCCACACTTTTTAGTCTTGGGGAAGAGGGCTCATTTTTATTTCTGTCCTACTTAGGAAAGCACCCTTGAATCCTGAGGCATTCACTACCCAGAGATCAGGCAGCTACTACAGCAGCATAGACTGATCAAAACGCCTTCGACTGTCTACAGTCAAACCCCATTATACTGACGGGTTCCTAAGCTTTAAAAGTTGCGCCCAGACAAGTAACTGCTCATGCTACTACCACCACCTCAAGAAATAATATGTGCGTTTCCATAAATCCAGCAAAAATCCGGCTCCAGTTGCCTATCATCACATATCCAAGACCAGGGACGGCTCTAGAGCAGAATCTCTCCCTGCGGAAAACCTGAGCGCAGCACCCTTCTCCGCAAGGGCCACCTCTGCGCAGGCAGACGAGTCACAGCTGCAAGATGAATTAAAGGGAAGTCTTCCAACTCCATCCTTTACAAAAGGCTGAATCTCTCTGATATATTCAACATATTAAAGATTTACAAATAAAATGTAACATTGAAATATGTACTTTGGAGAAAACTACAAAAAACAGGTTGACCACGCCAATAGGGCTTTGCCCTTGTAACTACCGAAATGCTTTATAAACCTCTCCTCCTGTTTCACCATCCTGCGAGGCTGTATTTTACAAATGGGCACACACCACGAGGATGCTTCGCAAATGGCTCTATCCCTCCTACCAGCTGCTCAGCAGTGGTGAATGGAGCACTGGAATACAGCAAATTGCCAGAGGTGCCCAATATTTTAAGGCACATTATGCAAGGCTGCTTGCATTAGAGGAGCGACAGTGATTGAGATGACAGCAAGCATATATAAATGCCAAGGATCCAGCTACTTCCACTGCTGTTGGAGCTGATCCAGGACTAGAAAATAGCCATGAAATTCCCATCGCAGATGTGAAGATGAAACTTCCCCAAGCTCTCAAAAAACCAAATAAATCTCCAGAAAAAAATCCGATAGGGGGGTTTCCATCCCACTGCCTTTCCCAGGCCAAACTACTCCTTTGGACTTCACTAAAAATCACTTAAAAGCTTCAGCCCAAGCTCAAAATTTTAAGAGATATGCAGCTTCTTTGACAGCTTCCCAACCCACAGCAAAGCGTCAGTTTGATTTCTGTACACGGTACCAGCAGTCACCATTCCTGGCAAACCCACGACTCCCAACTCAGGGAAGGCATATACAGCTATGTTCTTCCACTGCATATGAAAACACCCTCCAGTGAGTTTAGCACAAGGCTGTACCGACAATTTAAGTCCTTCCTTGGAGTATTCTTCTGAACTCCGAGTAATCAGCTGCTGAAGTTACCAGATCTGCACTAACAGCGCTCAGCAGCATCTTGTACGCTTTTAAAAGGAAGGCTCTGAAGCGGAACAGAGAAAGATGAACCAGCTGTCACAGCATGCAAGCAACCACCACCTACCCACAGCCCCTAGCCGCACTCCCTGCTCGGTGGACAACAGCGTTCCCACAAAACTGCCACACCGTTTTAGCCACTACCAAGAGACAGCTGCAAATGCTGTCAATGCAGAACAAGAGAAGAAAAACACCACTGCTAAAGCCAAGCCAACAGTCTGCTTTCAAGGATGAAACAACATGCCAGTTGCAGCTGAACTGGAATGGAGAAAATCAGACAAGTCCAGCCTTTTTGGTTTAGTCTTCCCTCCCTGACATGATCACCAGATTCAGATTTAGAAGTATAGTTTAACAATTCCTGCAGGCCACAAGATTTTTGCTAAATCCCAAGGCATTATCATTCTCCGGTTTCTTCCTTTTCCACTCAAGGCAGACTTCAGCTTGTTTTTGCAGACCTGAGAGAGGCAGCTCCTTTTAAGTCCAGTTACTAAGATCTTCCTTCGGATCTCTGCCAAACCTCCTCTCTGCCAGATTTGAAGTCTTGGCCTTGTTTTCTAGGTTGCACACTCTTCAAGACAAGCGCTCTAGAGTCTATTTGCTAAAGGTGTGACGTTGCCATGTTCCTGGTATGAAACACTATAGTTTAGCTCTATAGATTTTTTTTTTTAATAGTTTGTTAGCCAATGAATTTCCACTTGTATTTTTCCATCAGAAGTTTCTTAGTAAAGAATAGAACAAAAAGAAACGAACTCAATATCCTACATTGCTGCCATTTCAGCCAGCCAGTTCAGAGGCAGAACCTGGAGAAAATTACCAGGAGGAGAAAAAAAAAAAAATAGGGTTTGGGTCAGGGTTTGTTTTTTTTTTTTTTACGGTTTCCTGTAAAGGGAGATACACGATGGTTTGATCACTGCAAAGTCAAGCACAGCACAGAAGCCGCCTCTGTGGCTTTTATTTTGGAAGATGACAGTCGCTTTCTGGCGATGTTACACCTGGGCAAGAATACACTTGCCCATCGTTAACTGCACTGTGCACACAAATTGGGAACAGCAGCACCTAACAGACATCTGCCATCAGCAACTGGTCTGGGAGCTGAAGGGCTATGGGCTCATTCTAGGATAGAGGAAGATTCCTTGGTGTTTACAAGAGAAAAAAACTAAGAGCAATAGGATGTCTAGTTAAGAGAGGGTCAGGAAATGGAAGAAGCAGAATACATATAAGTATCCGGAGTCCAAAGCACCACACAGCTCTTCTACCCATGGCAGAAAAGATAAGCACTTAATTTAATTCAGACTGTCAAACAATGCTCCTTACAGGAAACGCAGAAAGCTGTAATTTTTCCCCACTTTCTAACATTCGGGTTTAACTGTGCACCATTATTTCAACCTCAGGTAAGGGCTCAAAAATGTAAGTTTGAGCAACGCACATACAGCTTTCCAGATTCCATCCACGCATGTATTTGCAGACCTGTGCCATCTCCCGAGTCCTTGTTGGAGGAACACTCCTGCTGTGCAGTGGCTCATTTGTTGCACACACTAGATGTGCTCTCAGCAATGCAGCTGTTGCTCTGGGGTCATGGTCTCTACCTAGAAGAGGCAAGACATGACACCAGCGTAACCTCTCCTGCACTCTCAAGTGAAGCGTGCAATTCAAAGCCAGTGGCTCTATTTGTTCAACGCAGGATCCACCCACATCCACCAAGTCTGTTGTCTTACGATGAGTTATCTCCATTAAGGTTCTCCTTAACATAGTTGTGGAGCATTTACTGTTTCATAAGCGAGAAATGTTCATTTTGTGATCCATTCAGGATGCAGGGCTGTGTGCGCTCCGATTACTGTCGCTCCTTTTTCTTCATCTCTTCACAGACACAATCTGTGAGGACAGTATATCTTCCTTCCCTCTTATGAAGACTCACATCCAGTTCACTGTAAGATTTCCTCTCCACTATTCTGATCCAAGTTCAATTTATTCAGATTAAATAATGGTGAGGTAAGGGAAAATTCGCACTGCTTGAATTTGAATGGACTATTTTGTCATTTCTGTGCGTTTTCTAAGGTGTAAGATTTCAAAGAAGTGAATGAAAGTCACCAGTTTCCTGTAGCTAATTCGGTGGCCAACTGCATCACATCAAAAGAGCAGGTTTACATACTAACATGGTCACTAGTTAAAAACTCGGCCATTGCTCAGACACAGTATGATCAATTGTCTCTAGAACCAGGAAAGAAAATTAAATAACCATTAACTAGACAGAAGAGAGCTGTCTCCTCTTACCACTTACTACTTCACAAATAGTATATTACATGCAACTTGATGCATGCAACCAGGCCATTTTAAAACAAGGTATGCACAGTATATCCGATCTGTGAATAAATTCCCTTTCAAGAGTCCAACATTAGGCACTGGAGATCTATCATGATGACATACAGCTGCCACATAATGATTCTGAAGGACAGAATCTCTCCTTTGTAACATTCCAAGGTATTTCTGTGTTTTTAAAGAAATGTTCAACTGTACAGTCAAATAAAAGTTACTTCTAAGAGAAGAATTAAGACACATTTATAGTAACTCCTTTCTTCATGTCACTTCATTCATATAACACTGTGACAGAGATTTGCTGTTGCTGGATTTTATTTCCTTCTTGAATTTCACTGGTGCAATTCCAATGGTAAAACTGCATCTTCCAGAGGGACAAGGCCACTGCTTCAAAGCAGATGGAAAAGATATCTCACAGGCTGGCTAGAACTAAAAATACCAGCAGGAACAGAGAAGTACAGGCTCACCAGCTGAAGTCCGTTTCCCTGCCTCTCACGCACTGGCTAGTCAACCGGAATCCCTAGGACATTTGCAGTCCGAGGTAAAGAGCTAGTTAACGCGAGCACGATTTCAACCCGTCTTTAAAAGAAAGCTGTTAGAGGATCAGAGGATGCTATGTGTGAACAACTGGAAATACACGATTATCAGAAGAGCCGCTTCCTACTGGCGCATTATTGGTATGGCTTTAAAGGAAAAAAATAATTACATGCAGGTGCTTCAGTCTTCTTTGTATGTTTTGTGATATAAAATTACCTTTGGACAAAAGAGTATGAGGAATGGAGGACAGGATACCAGCTCAGGTAAACAGAGGTTTGGTAAATCGGAACTTAGTGCCTTTAATATCAAGTAAAAACGTGCACCCTGCGCAGGCTGAGCTGAGTGATGGGGCAGGTGCTCCAGGGTACAAACACATTCTGCAACTATCACCACAAGCTGTGTTTGAGGGTGTGCAGATCAGGCTCAGCTGCAGTTTAGCTACACTCCTCACTGGTTTTACAAAAAATACAAGCAGTCTGCTGGTAACAGACAATTGGAGGAACTCAGTGCTGCCCGCTACAGACTCCTCAGATTAGCACTTATTAAAAATTAATAAAATGGTTTATTTTATATATACATATGTTCCAAAAAATTTATACAGTTAAAATATCAAATTAGTGATCTGGTAACAATACTGTTCAAAATAATCTCTTTTGTATGAACATTAAAATACACGTTTTTAAAAGCGTTTCCTTTTAGTGCTTCCAAAGCACAGCGTGTGCCAAGGCCACCTGAAGAATCTCCGTCCTCCTCACAGGATGAAAGAGAACTGAAGTCGGGGACCTGGGAAGCCTCAGGTGCACTTTCATAATGTCTGCAGACAAAACAGAAGAGAGTCTGAGGTAGATTGTTTAGTGACCATCGGGTGGTAACAGTCACAGGGCTGTCTTTAGCTTTCATTAACACAATAGCAGTTTCTTTACTCTCAATCTACACTGAATCTCAAGTTTAAAAGGCATGGCTAGCAGTTCTTGGGAACAAGACCCTTGTCTCTGTGGTGGCAACATGCAATTTTACCACTGCAGGTGTTTCTGGGAGGGTTTTTTTTGGGAACACACGGGCTCTCTCCACGATGCAGACAGTGTGTGCATTTGACAGTGCCCCATTTTAGTGCAACCTGCTGCCTATAGCACGTAAATGTCTAATGACAGCGTTCAAATGAGTAAATTCTCATCACCTGCAGGAGGGGCAGCAATGGTTATTTTCTTCAGCCTGTTGAGCAAATAGCACCCTCCACAGGAAAAAAGCCACACCTTTCATAGCAAATCCTTAAGGTTATAGCCCAGCTCCTGCCGATAGAGGTTCTTAAAGTTAAAGCTCCACTGCTTCTTCTCAGACTGTGACAGTAAAATCACTTGACTGCCAAGATGGTGAGGGCAGCAGCTACATCCTCTTCCACTCTTCTGCGGCACAGCAAACTCATGCCTGGTCCATATTCGTCTGGCTGGTACGTTGTTATCTACTGTTGACATGATTAACTCTGTTGGGTAGGCTGTTGAACTCTAGTTCCTCTAGTATTCTCTCTAAGTGTTGTATTAAGACTCGTTTTTTAAACCTAAGGAAGAGAAAAATAGCACTTCAATTTTTTTCTTCTAAAAATACAGTAGAACAACTCAAGACTATTTAGTCATAATAAATCCTATTACCAGAGGCTCTCTATTTCCAGTATGGAAGAGCCCACTATTTCTGGCACTAGAATGACCAGAAAATTTAGTTTAATACACCCGCCCTTCCTCAACCCACCCACGTTTTGGGTCCATGTTCAATAACAACCCATCTCTCTTTCACATTTAAGCTTTAAGTAAAGGCCATTTACTCCATAAAAACGTAATGAATAGTAGTTTCACCACTAAACCAACTATACTAAATGAAATGTGTCAAAAAGGAAAACAGAAAACACTAGTACTGGGAAAGTGTATAATCTACTATCACAATTCTAAATTAAATGTTAATTTATCACTTGTAGTCATTTATATCTACACTAACCTTGCTGCTTCCTTGATAGCAAATTCAATGAAGTATTTCTGAATTTCCATAGGTCCTTGCACCTCCTCAAGAAGAGAGAAAATTTTTTCATAATCTAAAAAAGATAAAAATCCAACCATACATTAAAAATAAATCTTGAAAATGCATTTTCAATAAAGCTTAACAGCCAAAAGAAAGCACAAAGCCCAGAGTTTCACACTTCTGTGTATGGTAATACATGTAACGCAAGAAAAAAGCCCGTGTTAACTTTGTGCACAGAAAGCAGGTGACACCAGTAATTTGAAGTGATACTGATGATCTGGTATTCAAATGTGGCAAAGAATTAGGTTCTCTAAGAGAAATGCAGAAAATGCAGGCTAGGCAGAGAAGGCTCGTATCTCCATGAACACAATGCCACCATGAGCAGTTAATATGCACATAGGGCCACCAAGCCTTGCTTTAACCTAGAGCTGTCAGTTCTGAAAGCAGAGGTTAGGATTAGTTCTCTTAGAAGGACAAATTATCTATGCTTAGCGTGAGCACAATTAGTATGACTCTCTTAGTGGTACAAAGTAAATATATCCACTGCAAAAGACCGAACTGGACGCATTAAATTAGAAACAAATTAAAAAATAGCATTGTTTCAATATTTTCCATAGTTGAAGCCAGTATGAAGATATTTATGGTGCTGTGACTAAGAGCCTGCTCAGAGGGATGCAGTAGGCACAGAGAGAATCCACAGTGGTCAGAACCGTGAATGTGTGCACATATTTAACCCACTACTACTTAGCTTCCTTCTCTGATGACTCCCTGAACTCTGCAGCAAGACAGGTGACTCATACTGAACTACTGTACTCTACATCACCATTTACTACTCATGAATTCAGTGTAAGATTAGATAAGCCTACTCTGCAAAACAGGAAGCAAAGACATATCCAGAGCAGGAAGTTTTAGAACATATTAAAAATAAAATACAGATGCTGCATTAAAAAAAGACTTCATCTTAACAGCCTCAGTCTGCTGCAATAATTATATGCCTCAATAAAATCCTAAGTTTTGGGAAAGCAATGCAAGATCAGAAAAACAGAAGAGTTAAGAATACTCCATTATACTAATTATTGGCACTTGACAATGCACTCAAAAAGTATTCATTAGTTTAATTTGTAGAAATAATTCTCTCAGACACAGATCACATTAGGGACATCTGCTGTTTAAGAAAAACCAAAAAGATTGTGCCTTTGGCAAATCCCACAGCATATACATTAGTTAGAGCTTCAGGTTAGTGTTTTGGTTTTGATCCTATACACAAGTGCAGGCAAAACACGTAACAAAAGCTGAGGCAAATTACTATCCCTCATAATATTTTAGATTTTGGGAGGTTCTCAAACCTTACCAAAAAAAAGAAAATAATGTTTAGTCTTCAGTTCTAAAAGAGTTTATTTAAAACAGTGTTCCATCACTAATTACACTATCTCACAAAATAAAAACCCATTACTTAGCTGTTAACTGTTAAGATTCCCTTTTAAACATACTGCAAAATGCACCCTTGTAGCTACGTACGCCTTTGCCCTCCCAAGGAAGTTCCGACGGACACAAGGCAATAAAGCACACTATGCATATGCAAGAAGTGCAGAACAAGGCAAAGGCTATCTAGCTCACTAAATCATGGGTAACACCTTCGCAGAGCTACAAAAACAACACTTCTGAAAGGTGCTTTCACAGAGTACCACTTTCAGCAGTTAACCTGTCTTCAACAGAAACAAGGTCACTGGCACTCAGCTTCCCAAGCACTGCTTTCTGAACTTCAACTCACCTGCCCAGCACGTAACAACTTTCTTCCTTTTTTTGTCCCTCCATTGCTTGTATGCAAGCGATCAGAAAATACTCAAAAACTAAAGTTGTAAATATACTGGAAACAGCTCCTTATTTCAAGAAAAAAGTCTTCTCTCTGGTACAATGTATAATATACTAATAACCACCCCCCCCCCCCCCGCCCCAAACTTACTTCTTCCAGGTTTGCGAACCTCTTTCATCACTTTAATTTTGACATCAGCATTGTTTCCCTCCAACATCATAGGTGTTATTTTAAACGAATTTGGCACAGATTCAGAAGTAGATTCCATCACCCGTTTTTGGTCGTCTCCAGCCACGCTGTAGTTTAGAGGCCCTCGAACAAGCACGTTGGTACCAGGTTTATGATCCACCCCATCTTCACTTAAACAATTGAATTCAATGGGTAGAGAGTCTAAGTCATTGGGTAACATTTCATCCTCTCCCATGGCAGCTGGAACCAATGGAGCCATTTGCACAGGTAAGCCATCAATTTGCTTTTCCAGTGACTGACAATTTTCTGCTTTCTTCTCTCCATTGCCATCTTGGACAATACTGTTATTGGTATCTACAAATTGAAAATACGTTATCTTATTAGTGCATAATTGCAGTATCAAAAAAACAGAAGGAAATAATTCTGTATCCTTTTGTGTTTGAAACACTGTGTAGTGATCTGACAGTGCTGAACAACTCTCGAGTAATTTTATTCAGCCTTTGATGTGACCACAGGAATGCTTCCCTTTGCACTGTTACCCCCTTGTATCACTATCACAAAGTCACCATTTTCTGTATTCCTACTGCAGTGTTATGACTTCTAAGTAAACTAATGTTTTCGCTCCTTCCCCCGATTCCAGCTAACAGAGTTTTCTTCTGACTCCATTTGCTGCAACAGCTGGGTAAGAAAGCTAGTATTTGTAGGAAATGAAAACGTAACCATATTTTAACTTTCCTTCCCCACCACAGAATACACAAATGAGAACTAAAACCTGATCTGAAATCCTTGCTACCTCCAAATCATCTTGGCAAGAGGTTTCAGTATTTTTTTTTTTTAAAAAAAAGAACTGTTCATCAAAATTATTTTTCTATTCCAGACTTCATTAGCTATAGCAGCAGCTTGCTTATCTAGGCCAGCAAACGAAACCCAGTCCTACCTGACACTAAGGCACACAACATACATGCCGATATACCCTTCTGAATCAACTCAGAAAGCACACAGAGCTTTTTTCTTTTTTTTAGCACAGATATTCCCACTTGTGATCACACAGGCTGCTGTACTACAACTCAATATACCTTTATTTGCTGGGACACCCTTGAGGTTCAGATATGATGGGGATCCAGAAGCACAGGGTGGCCCTTTCCCACCAACATGGTTCGTTACGACAGGTGGTGACTGTGGCCGTCTCAACAGTGGTGACATGCTACGCCTTCTCTTTAGTGACGCTGGAGTATTGGGCTCTCCAGGACGCTTAACCTTATTCTGAGGCCCAGCAACAAATTCATCTGCCTCATCTATCATCATACCCTGCGAAGAAAAAAAAATTTTTTTTAAACCAGTACAAAATAGAATTTGTTTCATCAATTCATTGATGGAGTAAGTCCCTCAGCGTTAAAATTCAGGTGGCTTTCAAAACACTTTAGGTATCTCTATTCTGAGAGCTGTAACGTACACTACAATCAGAGAGAGACCAGTGCCACTCTGTGAATCAGCATGATGCTTTACACGTTTCTCTTGCACCACGTGAAAGACAGCACTCCTTCTGCACATGACAGAAGAGCTACACAGGTTAACAACATACTTCAGTTGCAGGGGAGAAATTCTACTCACAAATTATGTGAAGCCATGTTAAATATAAGGGCACAGCAAACAGCATGGCTCCTCCTACCTTCTTATCCTGTTTAAATGGATTGCCAAATGTGTGAAGTCTTTTTGGTTGATCTGGGTCAATCTCCCGAAGGGGTGAAGGCATCATTTTCAGGTATTCCTGGTAATTTCCCATTTGAGCAACAGGAACACTATGAAGGCAGTCTGCAACAGGACAAGAGATCTTAACTTAGTCTACCTTAAAACTAAGGCAATACAAACTTCAGACACTTCAATTGCAAGTGTCAGCATTTACGAACTAGAAATTACTATTTCCTTCCACTACGGAGGAAGAGCTGACAACTTTGGAAATAAGGCTGGCAAGAGCTGAGCTCAACTGGCAGAGGAATGAAAAATAAGCAAGTTTAACCTCTATGCTAACAACTGCATCTTTAGACCACAAGCACCTAACAGGAGTAAAATGAAGTAAGCCCCTCCCTGCTTTAAGCCACCATCACTACAAAAAACATGTCTACTGAAACTTAGTGTACGGGAAAGCTCTCCCATGAAATTTTTTATTTTTAAAATCCAAAGCAAGCATTAACATCTTGCATGACAGGAGGAGAGAATTTCCTTCTTTCCCCTTCAGAGTCAAGAGGACATTGACTGACTCAATAAATGATGCAATGTCCACTTCTGCTCCCACACCCAGGACAGAAAACGCTACTCCAGGGAATAAAAAAAGAGACAGCTGTACTCTCTCCAAACTGTTAATTGAAGAATAGTGGCTACTTACCTTCATCCTGCCCCAAAATAAGCCTATGTGTTTTCAGAAGATTGGCTCTCATTCTACTTAGCTGGTCTAGAAGACTGCGACGAGGAATATCATATGCATTTCTGAATGCCTGTGGCTTCAAATCCTAGTTTTGTAACAAAACAAGTAACTTTCAGTTAACCCATCAGTTCTCATGCACAGAGAATCCTCTACGAACAGTAATAATGTTATCTATTAAAAAAATTATTCTGAAGTAACTTCAGAGCTTCATAACCGGACATAGCAGACTCAACAACTGTCTTTTCAACAAGATCTTATTCAGCATTAGCGCTTTCAGCCCCATTAAGACTAAGCATGTTAACTCCTGGATGAACAATACTAACTGTCATTTACAGAAATTGTGACTTAAAATACAGTAATCTTTGTTTACTACCATGGGATTTTCAAACGGCGTCCCAAAATCAAGTTTGGGAAATTTACTCTTCTCACTATTTTTGGCTATGCTGCACTCTTCACGATTCAGTGAAAGTACTCACTGCCTTCTACACTAAGTCCATAAAAGCTACCCATTTAAAAGAGATGAGATCAACTGCTTAATCATGCAAGACCACTACACTGTTTACCTTGTTTAAAAGTCCTATGTGGAAGCCAGCAAATTCTTTAACATTCATATCCGCCAGTCTCAGTGGAGATTCCCCAGTGATCCCTTGCAGCAGCTGCTTAAAATCCCTACTGTGTACCAAGGAGAGGCCACTGGAGTGATTTTTCACTTTTATTCCAATTTCTTGTGGAACTTTCTTACCCACTGAACCTATTATCCGTTCCGACTCTATTTTTGTCTAAAATGGAATCACACCATGAGTTAAAGAATCAGCAGGCATAGCAGATTTCCAGCATAAAACACATAGTACATTAATAGAATAAAACTATAAATTTAGTTCCCAACTAATCAACAAATGAGAGAACTACCTACCCAGGGATATACTGGATTACTTAGATTATATCTCAAGTAGAAAGAAATCCTAATGTGCTAGCATATGGAAAAAATATTTAGCCAGTGTATCAAAATTTATATGCCAGTACAAAGTCTGTGAATATTCCTGATTTTGCTGCAAGTCTCTGACTCTTTTGTGTCCCTGAAGAATCATCTTTAAAAGGAAAGAAAAAAACTAACAATGGAAGGTGGGATGCCTTAGGTTACTGTAAGCTTGCATCTAAAACAACAGTATTATTTGGATTCAGTAACATAATTTCAGATATTGTTTTTGAAACAACCTACAATCTAAGGTTTGCACTGTTATGTTTGCAACAAGGGAGAAAAGTCGTAAAAGAAATTTGTTTCACCAGTTTCTAAAAACATACGTTTCTAAAAACATATTACTTCTCCAATTAGCACAGATTTCTTCTTATACCTACACATAATTCTGCTGTATTAAGCTTTAAGTGTATTCAAATTAAGATTTTTACCCACTTGCAATACCTCCAAAAAACCCCAACCAACCAAAACCCCAAAGCCCAAGGTGATCGCAACCCACTTCCCCCAGATCTCCTCCTCTGCAGTTTGCTTTGTTGTCTGTGGGAAACTCTAAGTTTAAGGACAGCAGAAGCACAGCAGAATTCTGGAATTTCTTGTCCCTATACAGGAGCTTATAACGCATCCAACACATTTAAACTGTTTCATGTGCTGAGAATGTCTGTGAAAACCACAGCAGCCATCTCAAGCCATCCAAACTCCATATTGCTGACAAATAATATCAATTTGCATATCATTAAGTTATCAAAATACCACAGCAAGTTTTATGTCTAATAGATGGATGCTCAGTCATTCAGAGGCTTTTGAAATGTATTTTGTGCATTCTTTAAGGCGGAGGATTTTTTCTTTGTAATTTTAAAGGCTGCACTGCTTCCCCGCTGACTTCTAGATGTTAAACTACCGCAGCAAGAACCATTCGTGCTCAGGAGGCATGGCTTTCAGACAGTCACACCTGAAACGGCGTTCTTGACACAGAGAAAAAAGATACGCAAGACTATTTCCCACCAGGTCACACTTAACACGTCGAATGAGTTTGACCTGAAGGAAACAGGAAGCTCAGCTACAAAGCTTGAACTACCATTTTATGCCCTGTAGACAAGAATGTACACTTTTTTTTGGAACATACACATTGTTGAGGCACACAGGGAAACAAACATGAGACTGAGAGCAAGCCTCTGACTTCAGCTGTGAAGAACAACGGCAAGAGCAGTCATAAATCCAATTAGTGATAATCGTTGGAGTTTAAAGGTCTAGTAGGTACTTGAAATATAGCTGAGAGGTCTCCTTCGCACTCCCCTCCACCACTTACAGAAGGCACAATCACGGGCTACAGAACCACTCTGGATTCATCCGTGTTTGCGGTAGGAATGCTCACCCATCTTCAATTATAATATATGCTGTACGCCCATATGAACTCCCACAGGGATTAACTGCTTTGTAATGAGATTACCACAAACTAAATAATCAACGCACTTCTAATTGCAAAGGTTTTATCAATACTACCTGTTGGCTGAGTTTTTTAAGGTAAGAGATAACACTGTAACTAAGTCCACAATCTAAATTATCTGATATCAGATTTGGAGCTCCCATCATCCTTAGGGCTTTCTTTAATGGCTATAAGGAAAACAAAATACACAATAGTAAGAGAGTAAGTCTTTAAAAAAAATTTATAAGATCAATTACAGGAAGCTAAGGCACATGGATTAGTGCTCTAGCTTTTCCACTTTTGGCCACTAAAATTCAAGCCTATTCAGATAACATGTGACATGAGTTTGGTAGTCTAACTAGCTCACAACGGACGTTATGCCACATTACCAAGACACCACGCGGTGTGGTGCCACTGGCAATTTCCACTCAAAGGCTCAGTACCAGAATAGCCGGGATGATGCAAGTCCATATTGAGGTGCATTGTCCAAGCTACATGTAAGAGGTGACACGGTGCCTCCCCCACCCTTTATTTGGCCCAGCCAGTTCTGTTATTATCAGCTTCCCAAGTTCTAGCACTTCATCCACATTAATAAACAAATAAATCTGCATTTTCTTTATCAAGTTACAAAAATAATGCCAAATTTGGTTTCTCTGAACAATCTAAAGTACTTTAGATCGAAGCTCATTTAACATTTAATGAACAAAAAACACATTTAATATCTTAAAGTTACTATTACTCGATATTAGTAGAAATTCATTTATTAAAAATGCTTGATCTGATCTACATACCTCTGCAAAACAAAATGTTTACTACCTAAAATGTCGTAGTAATTACGTAAACAAAATTTACTAGGAAGAGGTATGATGCACAGGACTCTGGTCACACCAGCCATTATACCCAGGAGGATGAAATGAGAAAAGGAACATACCAGTAAGTAGTAGGGAGGCATTGTTTTTAAGTAGTTGTCAAAAGCCTGTCGCCACTTCAGATTTGGCTTAAGTTTGTGAACCTTAAACAAGTCATCTGCAACAAGGAAACAACAAAAAAAGGTTTCATTTATATAGTCCCAAACCATTAGTATTATCCAAAATTCAACGTGCCAAGTTTCCTCCCTTTTTCTTCTCCCTCCACCCATCTCCCAGTGGGGCTTCCCCCCAAAAACTGTTCTTAACCTTAGGTTTGAAGAATTGTGAATCCCCAAGTCCTAGCTGCAGTAGACAATCCAGAACAAGTCCTCATTATAAGCAAACTTACAAGGTACACCAGACTTAAATACTGCACACAACTACCAGCAGCATGGGAGGTGCAACAAATCCACCTGTTAGAAGAGTTTCACCTCCCTTGCCTTCCTTTTTTATCATCAGGGACTCCCCGTACCAGATCAAACCAAACAACATTCTTTTGGCTCGCTTTCCATTTTCAGACCAGCTTTCTTTTGTTCAACCTGTATGATGAGTTCTGGTCTCCAATAAAAACATTCTTGGGCATCAAACGGAAAGAAAACATAATATCAGAGCAGAGAACCCTTCTGGTCAGCTTTGCTGGACTCTGCTACCAACAGCAGCAGCTGCCCCTGGCAGAGAAGAGGTCTACCTCCAGCCACACTGCCTGCCTTATGCCAGAGCAGCAAAGTCTCCTACAGATGTAGACAAAAGACAGTAATTAGCTACAAGAACTACTGCCCTTTAAGAGATGGGCATCTGGGATACTGTTTTACAAATACCTTGCTCACACTACAGGTATGCATATTGCTGTTTAGGAATCACCAAGTTGAAGCACATACCTATTTGTCGTGCATGCTATAAACAGTGATCTCTAAAGATCAAAAAATAACACAGTATCCTGCAATTTATCATTTGAAATTATGATTTGTCAATTGAGATTAAGTTTCTCCTTAGTAGGGTTGAAACATGCTGACAAAGTGAGTCTAATATGCAGGACTGGAAAAGGGGATGTCCAAAAATCAACTGGGGAGAGCTGCAGGAGATGGGAGATGCACAGATGAGGGTGTGCGAAAGACAGATGCAGCAAGGAAATTGTTTTCTCCAGATTGAGCTTTCAGGAAGATATATTTGGAGAAGCAAATTTGACTTGCATAGTATTCTGCACAAATGGAACAGATGTTAAGATACCAGGTTCTCATAGTCAAACCACACTTAATTACAGGTATTTTCCAATCTAAATGAATTCTGTATCACATACAAAAAAATCACACTACAGATGCTAATTGTTCTCTTTCCTGGCCTGAAGGAAGTGGGGTGGAGTTTGAGAGGACAAGTTAGAACTCCATTTAAAATCTCAATATACCACATGCTTAGCACTATTATCCAAAAGAACCTGTGATGATATCATGACATATGGCAAATATAAAATAACATCCATTCTTACTTTATAGGCCTATTAGTTTTTTTTCAGCAAAATGGAAGTTAAACTATACCCCTCTCCCAAACTTCAAAATGAAAAAAAAAAATTAAAATGTAAAATGTTTGGTATTATAGTATGTCCTAATTTTTTCAAGTCTATGAGCTGGTTTTGAGTACAGCTTGAACCTTAAACCTCTTACCAGTACTTTATTACTGCCTCACTTCCTGCATTGTGAAGGTTGTCCCAGTATATACCCCCCCCTAGTTTGACTGCACAGCCACTCTTCAACAGCACAGACATCCGTAACGCTCAGCTATGATTCTTAATCCACAGCAGAGCTGTAACCTGAGAAGTCAAAGGCAAAAGCTATCCCTGATCTTTGCTATCCGAGAAAGAAGTTCTCAAATCTAAGCAGAGCTTCAGCAAAGATTTGTCCATTTAAAGTAAGAGCCTCCCCACAGCATGAACTCACTGTAGGAACTCCTGCCCTCTAAAAGGAAGACAGTCATAGTGGTAAACGCAGCCACAAGTTTCGAAGAGAACATCACCATCAACATCTTACCTGCCTCTATCTCAAGAGTTTGAGACATACACTGTCAGCAGATTGCAACGCAGACACTGGAAGTGAACTTTTTCCACTGTACCCCGGGCTGCACGTAATCATTTATATTAATAAGCGAACAAGCAGTAATCCAGTTAACTATGTCTTTCACAGATGAAATCTCAAACTTTTGCAGGTAAAATCCAAAACTATTGAAAATATCCTTTCATAAGTTAGTTTTAATCCAACCTATTCATTTTCAGATAGTACTCTCTGTACAGTCCACTTAAAGCAGAATCCGTTTTACTTTTCAACTCAGACGGAGCTAAAAGCACTGGGTAATTGGGAACATGGTATTAAAAACCACTAGGAAAGGGCCACAAGCTGCAACGATTCCAGAGATCAGGTAAAACTACAGACAGACCAGCTAATTTAGAACTGTTTTGCAAAGTCTTTATCTGCTTCAGATTAACGTACAAAACAACCAAATTGTGACAAACAGGATATGAACACACATCTTTAATACCAAGTACCACGTAAGGGGGCTTCAAGCACTTTCAAGCTCAGTGAGCAGTTTAAAAAAAAGAAGAGCATGAGAGAGAGAATGGTCAGACAGTAATTTCAGTAGTTCAGCTGGAGTCTAATTACAAGAATAGTTCATGTGACAACAGGCTAGTTGTGAGAGCTCACATCATGTAACACGAAGTAAAACACTTTTTTTTTAAATCACCACTCATTAAATTCCACCTGAGCCAGCACACCACCATTCCCTGTTGACTCCTACAATTCTCTGAGCTTTCTAATGCTTCTGCACCAATAGATACAGTCCTTTGTTTTAAGCAGTACTCACGATTTTCCATTCACGGAAAGCAGTATCTTTCCCTGAAAACGCTCTAGCAAAAAATAAGACACTACAACATAAAATAGTATCCATTATTAAAAAGAGTATTGTAGCACTCTTTTTCCATTGATAGAAAATGTTTGGCTCTCCCTCTCAGTGCCACAGCTTCCCATATTCACAACCGTGAGAAAGTCAGTCCTCGATTTCCAAAACACAACATCATTACTTGCAGTTCTCTCAAGAAGCCTGTAACAGCATCGAAGGAAACTGTCCACCTTGCAGTCCTTCCCGGGCAGACATCTTCCAAATGCTTATGCTTCTGCACATTTAGACCCACGGAGAAAGGGTATTAGCACCTTCGCATGACATTTTCATAATGGCTGTTTCACTACTGCTTCTGCTGACACTCCCAATGAACAATCCCTCCTATGGCCCAGCAGTGCCTGCCCTCCCACTAATGCAGCCAAGATTAGTCAAGGAAACACCTTAAGCAGGGCAGGAGCATTCATCTTTGCTAAGCTCTCCCTCTAACCCCTTGTTTGACTTCTACTTTATGAACGTGGCTGTACAATTGTTTTTAAACAGAACAATATCTGAAGTACAATAGCTTTGCTAGTTATCAGTTAAAGGCAACAAGCCTTCAAAAGGAAATTTCTATAATCCGTGGGCCAAATATATTGAGCATCAAAGCATGTCAGTGGCTATCTGTGAAATGTTTTCCGAAGTCTGTTTCACTCCAAACAAACAAACAAAAAAGACAAGGACTGCATCCCTCCTCCTCAGTTCCCGGAGCAAACCACCATCCCAAGCTAGTCAGGATGCCTCTCTAGCCGTTCTTATGAGAGCAAAGAGCTGCTCAGCTGCAACAGCACATCCCACACGGTCTGCCTTACCGCAGTAGAAGAACTACAGACCAGAATTTTTGTCAGACAACCAGTTTGCCATAGTGCATGGATAGTTAGTCAGCCGCACGGACTGTACGGCTTCGCTGTTTTATGAAGTTTCATTAACTGGCTCCTTTCCTTACAAAGCTTCAGATTCTAAAAGCAGACCCATTAAGTTACAAGCTAGGACAGGCTACAGCATTCTCAAATCCACTCTTGCAGAAACCAAGATATAAAATCACCAAACCTACAGAATGTGGCACAATTTACCTCCATCAGACACGGACCACTACAACTTGTTTCAGTTTGCTCAGGTATCATCTGCAAGCTTCTTCATCCATGCCTATCTTACCTGTCTTTTAGGGCTGTCTCTTACATTATTTTCCAAAGACAGAATTAAAGCTTCCCGTGCTCGAGAATGCAGGGAAAAAAAATTCCTAAGCATCTTACTAGCTGTTTAGAAGGCTGAACACATGTAATCCATTTGATAAGACATTACAAATGACACAGTTGTAAGGTGGTTTTGGCTTTGTCTGAAAGAGTCACTAGAAGGAAGGGAGACAGGTTATCCATAAGTCCCAGTCCTCCAACAGAATATTCTACCAGTAGGACAGTAGCCACTAGAACCTCGCTGTTTCACCAATATGGGTGGGAGTGGCTGGATAGAACAGACTTCTCCTGGGCTTGGAAGTTCTCTTATCTTTTTTAAATTGGGCGAGAGCACCGAAAGATTCGCTTTACACACGGAAACCAGTCCTCTACCAAACTGTCAGTATCCACTATTGCTATGCATGAAGACAGACAGAGGGAGGGTTTAAAAACAGAAACAACCCCTACCTACCTACAAAGAAAAACACAGACTCAGTATTTTTTAAAACATCTACAAATAATGTAACAGATATGCTACTTATCATCTTAGGCGCTTTCTGTACTGCTAAGTAGAAAAGAGGTCAGATCTGCTTCTGTGTTTTATGTACATTCTACAGAACTTAATTCCACCATGCCTTAGAGACCAAGGATATACAAAGCCCTGGAACAAGATCCGAATACAACACTTCGCATTTGTGTTAACAATACAGAATGCACAGAATTTGCATTCTAGAGAAAACATCTGCTTTACAACTCGGGCAACATGGAAGCTCAGCATTTTCCTTTAAACTGCCTTCGGAAATTAAAATGTGGAATACCAGGTGAGTAAACTGCAGAATAGCACTACATATACTGAAAAACGCCTTTCCAAAGAATAGGAAGAGTTTTACACCCCTTCAAAAAAGGCAGAGTGAAGACAAGAGCTGCCAGGGAAGACACAGCAAACTGCAAATATCAACATCAAAAATGAATAGGAAAATTCATTTACTATCAGTGATGGCTCTCCAGCTAGCACATCTGCTGCAGTAATTCAGTAGCCATGAACTCCCAGAAACTCCAACAGTCTAGAAGTATCCTACTTGCACACTTTGGCACAATTATTAGGCTACATGGATTACTATGTAAGACATTCAAATTATCAGCAAGCACTTTTTTTTTTTTTGTTATGACCAGGACTATGAAAAAGCATTCCTGAACTGTGTTGTGTGTTTTTTCAAGAAATGAATGGAAAAACGCTACGTAAGACAGTAAGAGCCAACACCAATTCTCTTGATCTCCACTGTTATTCTGTATCACTAAACATATCCACAAAAAAACGTAACAAAAAAGTCTTACAGCATCTGTAACTAAAAAGGTTAGTAGCACCCAGGAAACTCTTCTCTCTGCCATTACCTTTATGCCAGAACCCTAAAAGCCACAATTATGGCAGTTATTCACACAGCATCTTTTCATATCGTCTTTCCTGTAGAAAGTGATTTCATTGTGGGAGTGAAAACAACACTGGTCCTTTAGGGAGGGAAGAAATGTAAGCTGTCGCTGCTCAATTCCTTCCTACTGCTCTGAACTGCATCAGGGAATTCCCTCTTCCCAACACCCGTGACAAACACTGCATTCGATCTTCCAGTAAAAAATTAGCTGCTACAAGAGCAACTGCAAAACCTGGATACACCACACCCTAAATGAGGGAAAAGAATGGAGGTTGAAGCTTACTCCAGGTTAAGGAAGAGGCTACGTGTCTAGGAGGTGAACAGCATCAAACATGCACTGGAAGCAGGTAGCTCTCCTCCTCTGCTGGAGAGAAAAAAAGGGAGAGGGGGTATGAAAATCCTCTCCTCCCAAATTATGTTAAAGAGTTTGCAACATACTCTACTCTCTGATCTCCATTATTTTATAACGTCTCAAACTAAGGCAGAACACCAACCATTATTGTTTTTCTTTTACTCTGAAGTAGCTGCATTGGCAGTCCAATGTAAATTTATTACCTACCTAGCAACGGAAGTAAAACAGGATAGTTGTAAGGCATCACAAAGAGGTTTACACAGGTTAAAGTAGTGCTTGCTTTTAAATACCCGAATGGATGGCCAAGTTCACTGTATTTTCCACTGCTACTCACAAATACCTGATAAAGAACAAGAGATATCACTGTATTAGAAGCATATGAAGAATATTAAGCACGGAGCATTTAAAAACTTAAACCAATCTGAATCCAATTGCATTAAGACAGCAAATTATCCAGAACAGCCAAGTTTGAGGTTGCACATCAGGATGAGCATGCACTTACATTCCCCAGTCACGAAACTGAGACATGCAACATTCAGTGTACTCCCAGTCAGTGTGGAAATGCTCTTCAGTGTCATCTTTAGTGAACCTACTTTGAAGTGATGCTCTGAAAAGTTTTTGAAATTATTTAAAATAGGCTAGGGGACATCCGTTGAAGGTATGTTAAAAGACAATCTATTTGAAATTGGTCTTCTAACTCATAAAATAGCACGGCTAATTTTACAACACTGATAAATCTAAAACTTTTTAAACATAGAAATTAAGCAATAAACAACTATTCAAGAAATGTCTTAATTATGTCAAGTGCCAACATTCTTAACATCAACTTTTTTTTTTTAAAGTGTATATATGTATGAGGATATTAACCTTGAAAAGCAATACATGCTAACAACGGTTTCAACAGGATAAAGATGGTATATATTCTTATTGGGACAGTCAAAATAACCCACACCTAAACAAAAAGTTTTCCAAAAAACGTAAACCTTGCAGTAAAAAGGAAGTATTTTCCCTCTATTTTTTCAGAGCATAAGGAACAGGGTTTGTTACATGGTTTCTATGACAATGAGCCTATTTCTCTAGTTTGTAAGGGTCTGACACGTAGCTAGGAGAAGAAAAGCTGGTTTTGAAAAACAGCAGAGGTACTTTTAGTAACTTCGGCAAATAATGTACCTATGAATGCCTAAAGGGCATTTTTGAAATTAGTTTGTTAAAAGTAACTTCAATTTTTCTTCTGAACACACGTGTTATACCTCCAGTGAAGTTGTAATATTTATTAAGGAAACAGAAACATAAGAGACACCTCCAAACCCATCTTTCCAGTTAAACTCTTGCTGTACCTATTAAGTCACTCTTTACAAGAACACCATTGAGAAGGGAATTATTTTACAGAGGATGCAGAAACAAGTCACTTATCCAAAAATCACAAAAGGAGCATGTGACAAAGGATTTCAGCAACAGAACTTTGACCTCTTCAAGGCCAATCTAGTCAACAAGATCAACAACTTCCATCCAATTCCCATTAGTAGCTTCAATCATCTAGTGGAAATTATTTGCAGCTGTTGATTAGGTAACACAATGGAAACTAGTGCTAGGTTTTCCCTGTAAGCAAATGGAAACCTACACAGAATTTCAATTTAGCCAAAAATGGAACCTGCGAGGCACGTTTCTTAGCAAAATGAGATGGACCTAAAAACAGAATTAGATGAGATTACAAAGTCTGTAGAGGGAACACTCATTCTGACTCCTGATAATTCCATTAGAAAGGAGGTAACTGAAACCTTGACACGTTTCTTCTCATCAACCACGGAGTCTGCAACAAGACCCCAATTCCCCAGGCTTACGAAGACTGAAGCACCTTAGGATGCCCATTTCTAGAATCAAATAAAGGGCAAATACCTGCCAGCAGGTGTGGGGAGACTTTCGTTCCAAGATGTACTGTGTTAAGGGTGAAGGCTCAAGCTCATACTTGTCAAAAGGAAGCTTGTCTATTACCATTGGCTCACAATCAACACAGGAGAACCTCACAACAGGGTGAGCTGTGCGCGGAGGCTAAAAGGAAGGAGGAAAAAAACACATTACTTGTCTGGTATTAAATCGACTATCTTAAAAAGATTCACACACATGTATTTTACCATCCTATAGGCTTAACCTCCTCAGTTTCCACTATTCCCTTTAAAAAGGAGACAAGTTCCCAAAATAGAATATAGATTAAGTAATTCTCTAACTTAAAACAAAACAAAAAAAAAGCCACACACACGTTCAGACATTCTTCCCATCAAGAGAAAAATATGGTTAATATTCAACTATTTATCTTGATATTTTAAAGCCTCTGTGCCAATTAACCTTTAGTATCACAGGTTTAAGGAAAAAACTGCAGCTCCGATTCCCAGCTTGATGTTCACAGAATTACAGATGTGAGACTGTGCTTACTTGGCAAAGGATATCTCAAGATACTCCCTGTCAAGTCTGATTTTTTTCCTCTTGAATCATAGAGGGAGGGAAACAGTACCTTGAGCACTTGCAAAGTACAGAAATAGAAAATGTCTAATAAGAGAGAGATCTTTAGAAAGGTAGTAAGACATGCCAAAGGCATGATCAATTCCGTAAGAAAAGGAGAAATAAATACTGATTTTCCCTCATTTTCGGAATGAGAACTCTTTTGTTTCAGTTTTAGTTCTTCCTGCTAATGAAAGAAGAGTCCATACACGAAGTAATACTAAGCAAGAGAACACATGGTTGATCTTCTATTAAAAACAAACACTCCTTTTTCCAGATAAATGCATTTCATAAAGCTTTGATTAACATTTAATAGGCTCACTATGATTTGTGGTATGTGAAGCAGTTTATAGTTAAATTTTATAATCTTTTAAAAACCATTTACCAAATCAACTAACCATATACATGGAAGTAAATCTTCCAGATTCAAACAACATCACAGCATACAGTACCTATGTTAGAATATACCATTCTGTGTTAAAAATATTTTTAACTACCCTTTTAACGCAAAGTCAGATCATATTAGTGAACAGAGAAAGTAAAAAAACCAGAACCAACTAAACCACAAAGCCTCCCACAAACTACTTTATTATTCATTTTCAGTCTGTTTCATTGTCAGGAGTAGAATCTTTTTTTCAGTTCTTACTTACTTACCAGTGTTGGTGAATTTTGATCAGGCCAGAAAGATTCTGGGATTGGCCAATGCCCAACAGGAACACCAGTTTTAGGGTTAGGCCGTACATAAATGAGTTTATGACAACTATGCCACGGTTGAGAAGCAAATGAATTGATGGGCCTGGATGAATCAACAAGTCCATCTAAAATTCAAACAAAGCAAAATAACAACAAAAAAGAAAATAAAAAGCTACATGCATGCATTTGTCTCCCAGCAAAATTTCTGTATTCACAACCAATAAGGTGTTTCATTACAACTGTTTCAAAGGCATACAGATGTTTACATCAGTGGTTGAAGAAACTACACATCAAAACATGTAACAGCATCATCAGGGAAACAATGATAACACTTGCTCATGTCTATCCTTCTGCTCCTGTGGCACAGCCAACAGATAATTAGTGCAGCAAGGCATACTCAGATATTACGGAAAATGCTTTTTGCTTAAGCTCCGTACTTTGACATATATCCGACAGGCAACAGCAAGCCCATCATTTTTAGTTCTGCTGCTCCTGGAAAGACTGATAATTTGCATTTACGGTTTTTCTACATGGGATGCAAAGCTCTCTGACTGATGCTGCCACTAGTGGAAACTGGAAGTGGAGAAAAGTTTCATGGAAAAGTCAGATGCATCTTGCAGGAGCAGCTTGTGTCACATTTTTCACCAGTAAGAATTCACAGATCACTCAAATGCCACTCTCTCCTGGAAAGACCAGTGTTTTCTGCCAGTCCACTGCAGCGTACCAGCACAGACTCCCCTTCACACTGAGCACAAAGAAGTTTGTGGCAGTACAGAACCTCAGCATTAGTTTTCCAAAACCACTCTTCCAAGCAAACGGCACAGCAGAGATCACCCATTTAAAGACTCCTCTTCACTGAAAGTTATTTTACCCTACTAGTTTTCCCTGCTGTAGATAGCTGGCCAATAACACTATGCAAACACCTTTCAGATACCTATCAGTGTAGTTTCCCTGCATTATATACACAGTGATTCCTCTAGTATTGTTAAATCCCATCAAATGTCTCTCTAGTTTAGGACTTTCTCAATTCATGTAAAGGAGGAAAGTCTTGATATTTTTCTGCATTCGTACCCACATCACTGTTAAAGTGTGATGAAAATTTAAAAAACAAGCCACTAAACTTCACCGGCCATTTTGCCACACAGGAGGACGTTTGGGCCAAAAGAGACACAGGAATTTGCTGAGGTGCTGTCCTGCACAGCATTATAGGAAAGCCTTCCAATAAAATGGCATTTAAATAAGCAAAGGGAGAAAAAAAAAGTATATATACAGCAAGAAAAAGGTGATTCAAAAATGAAAGCAGGAATAAAGCTGGCTATGCTAGGATGCTCAGGGGATCCTAAAAGCTACTTATTTAATGACGTTCCAGGAACATCCTCATTTTCTAAACATGAACTGGTCAGCACTCTATCCTTCCTTTCAGCCATGAACTTCTGCAAATCTGAAAGACTGCTCCATGTTAAAAGTGCATTTTCCTCTTCCCTGTTATGCACTTCACTTGCAGCTAGCAAAATGATTCCTTGTTCTTTGCACACAGTTTTGCACTTGCAGCTGAGAACATTCAACTGAAACATAGTGTGTTGTGATCAATTAGCAGAACGAAAATGCACAGAAAATTAAGCATTGAGATTACTTTAGAGATGTTTAAGTGTTTAAATACACTAGTCCTAGATTTAATTACTTTAAAACCAAGTTTTAAAAACACTAATGCAAACTTTACTACTTCCTGCAAACATTCACTTCCCTCAGCTCCCAAAACAACAAGGCAAGAAGAGAGTGACAGGAGAGCTAGCAAGCAGGTAGACAGTCCATACAAATACATGCAAACACATGGCATCCTTTAACCTATCAAGGATTAACTAACACTTGTAAAAATATAACAAAAAGACAAGACTAAACAAACATAAAATGACTCAAAAACTATGAACAGCACATCCATTATGATCTGGGGTATTAAAGAAATACCAGAGCTCTATCACAGAAGCATACGCGCTTCATGGATTCATCGCTTTTTTGGAATGTACTAGGCATTCAATGCATCCTGTACACGTCAGTGAAGAGCTGGCAGGAAGGACACCAAAGACACGTAAGGACATTTGCATGCATATAGAACATTTATTCTTGAACATTAGGGGCAAAAATCCCAGTTACTATACCTTCTCCAATAGGAGCTGGATCTGGTCCTGACTTTTCAAAGTTAATAACAACTCCACTTTGGACTTTTTGAACTAGAGATTCTAAACACTGATTCAACATTCTTTGTGTCCGAACACAGTAAGAACGACCTATGCAAGAGATAAATTACACAGGGAAAATACGAAAGCAAGTTTTGAGTAACCTTAATTAAGGAAGATGTTTTATTATGTAAGTCACACTGCCAAGGCTTTTGGTTTTATCCAAAACAATAGCAAACTTCGTACCAGTTCATGTAAAATGCAAAATACTGTTGAAATGCAATACAACCAAGGGGAAAAACAAGAAAAAACCCACAACCTGCTGAGCTTTTAATCATTTGTAAAAGAGGCCATTAAGGCTAAATCAGGCTGGTCCAAGGCCAAGTTTATAAATGCCCTTAACAACCTCTGATTGTACCAAGTCTGTATTATCTATCTGCTTTTGTTTACCCAAACCTTACCAATTCCTATGCACTCCCAAACTTCCCCTCCCACACAACATTTTTTTCAAGCACCAATTCAAAAAAATTCTGATGAACATCTCAAGGAACAGGCTCCAGAATTAATTCTTTTAAGATTAAATTTAGCTTATTAGCCCAGCAGCAGAATTAACATCTCAATAATACCTGTCCCACTCAATTCAACATTTAAATAACAAATCTCACGACGGAGCAAAGCCAGCCTCTGGAAGGACAATCTAAGAAATTTTCCGATCCCTCCTACTCATGCATTATGAAAATTCTCTCACATCTAGAAGATCTGAAATAGGAATATGGTTTTATTTTAAAGTTCTCCTGTACTACTGGAACCAAGCTCAAAAAACACCACACAGATTCACAAGGACACTGAGTAATTCAGATGGAGAAAATATAAGAGGTGAAGTTGAATCACAGGAAAATAACTACTTAAAGGCAAATACCAAACGTGAAGCAAAGTAAAGTAATGTCTGGTTACCTCCTGTAACTTCACACATCTGTGTGATAGCAGATTCATCAGTAGGCACACTCCCAAGCTGCTTTGCAGCTCCTGGCAAACGCAGCACTAGAGCAAACAGCCTTTGATCCCAACGAAATGGTTCTTTGGTTAGTTCACTTCCAGGCAAAGGAGAATTCAAAGGAAGATGAAGCTGGTAAAGAGAGATTTAAGAATATTTTCAAATACCTGACAAACCAAATACTCAAATTTATTCATTACTCTGTAAAGGACCCCGTTTCTCTGCTATCTACTAACTTATCTGAAGTTATAATCTGCAAACCTATGTGAACTATGAATTTAGAGGCTGGGCGATGACAGCATAGCTAGTTTCTGTTCTCTATTATAAAGCAGGCTGATGAAGCAGAAGTACTATTAGCAGGAAAAAAAATGATATTAATCTCAGCATAGCACCAACTTGCAAGATGGTAACTTGAAATTATTTGATGGAAGTTTACCTCCTCTTGAACTCCAGCCGTATTTGTCAGTTTGTTTCCGTCTGTGATGGTAATCAAAATAGATGGCTCCAAAAAGAACGGATTCCTTCCCTAAAGACAAAAGCACAGGAATGCTTAAGAATAACCTTAGCACTCAGGTCTAGGCTTATATTTTTGTTATTATATAATAACCAGTAAGATAAGCAATCTTTCAAAATAATCCTGTAATTTTCTTTCAATAGGTATGGAGCCATAGAGAACTAGGCAAGATCACAGAAGCCTAGAAGAGCTTGGGTTGGAAGGGACCTTAAAGATCATCTAGTTCCAACACCACTGCCATGGGCAGGGACACCTTCCCCTAGACCAAGTCGCTCAAAGCCTCATTCAACCTGGCCTTGAACACTTCCAGGGATGGGGCAGCCAGAACTCCTCTGGGCAACCTGTTCCAGTGCCTCACCCACCCTCAGTGTGAAGAATTTCTTCCTTAGATCTAATCTAAATCTATCCTCTTTCAGTTTAAAGCCATTGTCCCTTGTCCTATCACTATATGCCCTTGTCAAAATCCCCTCTCCAGCCTTCTTGTAGCCCTTTTAGGTACTGGAAGGCTGCTCAAAGGTCTCCTCAGAGCCTTCTCTTCTCCAGGCTGAACAGCCCCAACTCTCTCAGCCTGTATTCATAGGAGAGGTGTTCCAGTCCTCAGATCATCTTCGTGGCCCTCCTCCAGATCTGCTTGAACAGCTCCATCTCCTCCTTATGTTGGGAGCTCCAGAGAACAGAGCGTTCAGCAGTATTGCAGGTGAGGTCTCACAAGAACAGAGTAGAGGGAGAGAATTCCCTCCCTTGACCTGCTGGCCACGCTTCTTTGGATGCAGCCCAGGATATGGTTGGCTTTCTGGGCTGCCAGTGCACATTGCCGAATCACATTGAGCTTCTAATCAACCCAAGCCCTTCTCCTCAGGGTTGCTCTCAATCCATTCTCTACCCAGCCTGTATTTGTGCTTGGGATTGCCCCAATTCATGTGCAGGACCTTGCACTTGGCCTTGTTGAGCTACTCTGTGCACTCACACCCCAAAGATTTTAAAAATCACCGGTCTTTTTCCTCCAGTAATAGTACAAACCCCTCTAGTCCACAAAAGCAGTATAGAAATTAGTAATAATACAGAAAGCTCGGAGTTCCATGACAACAGTGGGGCAAAACACAAGTACTTTCAACCAGACTCTTCAAAAGAGAGAAGGGAAGTCAGGACATTAGCTACAGATAACGTATAACTAACAAAGCAGATTCACTTTGTTACTACCAGCGTACATACTTCCCTACAGCAGTTGTGTATCTACAGACAGAGTCATTTATACCACTGCTTTCTTTGTAGTTCAATAAAGAGTGCTAGTACATTCCAGAGTATGTTCAACAGATGTAGTAAGAAAGAAAAATGAAGAAAAAAAGTTCACAGTTCAAGTTTTAACACAGCTATCCACCATTTAAAAAAAAAAAGTAAAACAAAAAACAAACCTGAACCACCAAAATCCCTCTATAATCCCCACTGTAATTTCAAAAAAACTTCAAAGAAAAATAAATAAGACAGAAGACTATAAACAGATTTGTTACCTGTCCATAGTTGTCTATTCCAGACACTAATCTATTGAGATTTAACAAGTCAAATGATGACCTGAGTGCCTGACCAAGGGTTGTTAGTCCTGAAGCCTGAAGATTTTTCAGTTCATTCATAAACGTTGCGTGGTTTTCCTTCCATCCAGCCTATTACATAAAACAAAAAAGCTTATTAGTTATTCTAGCAAAACAAAAATGACAACTTGCAGTTGATTGCATATCTACCTTCTCACCAAAAATTAGATTATCTTTCTAATTAACAGATACGCTGTATCATTTACATGCTATACACACCTAATCCATGTATGCACAACCTGACATGAAACAGACACTAAATCCTACAATAGGAGGCTCACAAAACAAACACACTGTCAAGCATTTGAAAAAATTTGCAAATACCCAGCTCTTACCATGAAAACTGCTTTAGAAGCCATGCAACTAATATAAGCATGTGAATATTTTATTAGAAGAAACTGTCAAATTTGGAAGTCAAAAATGCAGCTGCCAAAGTAACAGCAATGAAAAGCCAAAGATACAAGCAGCATAATACTGCTGCTGCTTCTCATATGAATCCACCTCCCTTTCATTCTTTCCTCCATAAATCAATGCTGGAAGGAAAGGATGCATTTGCAATGTGTACTAATGTAGGAGTTAAAAAGAAGATAAAGAAGTTATATTATAGTAACAGCGACTGACATCTTAGCTCCCTAGCCGTATCTCCCCTTCCCACAATTTCCCCAAGTAGGAAGCAAGTAAGTGTATCAATTCAGTAGAAGGAATATTTTTTAAAAAAATCATAATCAGCTATTTTTAATATTACATTACTCTTGCTCAACTTTTCCATTTTTCTTGTGCTTCCTCCCTCCCCAGCCCACCAGGCTCAGTTCATGCCTATTAATGTATTATCAAGCACCCTCTGCCACTTGTGCATTACAACCCCCCTGCCTTTCTCCTGCCTCGGCATTTTCCACTCTTTTGCCCTTACTTCCCAGCATAAAACTTTCTACACAGTAGTTGCAAACACTCCATGTAACACAGAACCAAATCACTGTTTAGAGAGTCTCAGTATCACAGCTTGAAATTTTGGAGGTCAGAAAAAAAGTTATCACTGACAAAGCCTGCAGAACATTCACAGGAACAGCAAGAAGTCGTGAGGATAGATCAGTCCTACCAAGTGCTCTGGATCCTATGGCAAGCAGGGCTAACAAACATCAGCACCAGCTGTGATTCACACACCCTTCTCAAAAGACTACAAAGTTTGGAAGCTATTTTAGAAAACACTAGTTCACAGGGAACCGGTGCAGGATTTAAGCTGCCTCAACTAAAACAAGCAAAGCTTGAAAACCCCAGATATTCACAAAACTATCAGCCTTGCTAGCACATCTTACTCTCCAAACCATTCTTGCAGTAAGCAAGCAGTTATTCACCCAGGCTCACTATCATCTGGCAGCGGAGATGTTTCCGTGCTCCACTAGGAATCCTAGTTACGCAGACATGGAGCACATCATTTCAGTCTGACTTCTGCTGGGACAACCTCTGAGTGGGTTCTCTCCTCCCCGGTGTACTGAGCTCAGCAGCAATCACCTGCTGACTATACTACACTGTGCAAGAACCTGAAAGGACAGGCTTTTCCTCCGCTTTTTAAACAGCTATATCCCACCGCCAGTCCCTAGTACACACACTGGGCCGTGCACATGGTCATAGGTTTAGAGCCATGAATGAACAGAACAGAGTAAAAAGGAAAGACATGAGATGATCGATGTCTCCGCTGAGTTCTCAGGCATAAGCTAGGAGGGCTTCTTTTCACAATGAGGAATTATCATAGGGATATTCAATCAAAACAGGTTTTGGTCCAGTTTAGCTCCTTGAACCATTTCTATGAGCTTAAATTAGTGCAAGGGAAACAGAAAACTGCAAATGGGGCAGAGAAAGAACAGACTTTCAGCAGCACTGGCCCATCTTTATCATCAAACTATACCTGAAGCTCAAAGGAATAGGGCAGTTCGATTATCCGGGTAATTCTCAATAAAACACCCTCAGCATCCCCACACAACTGCAACTTAACAAAACACGGCATCTCATCAGCTAAGCCACGGACACTCTCCACACCTGCTCACAGCCCAAGGCAAGAATAAAGTACCAACACAGGGTCATCGCTTTGGAAAAAAAATGACTTTGTTAATGATCTTTTTATCAAAGTAAAAACACAACAACATGATCTGTGCTATGCTAAAAAAGTCTGCCTTAAAACAATACCTTAAAAAAGTCTGCCTTAAAAAAAAATGTTTTTGTATGAATTCCATGAACCCATAGATGTAGGTGAAATTGCTTCTTTCCATCTGCTAAAAACACCTACCAGATTAGTCCAGCTTCTTGAGAAGGCTGTAGCTCAAAAAGCATTTTCCAAAGACTGGTGTTTGAGTTAGTGTGTTGCAAAAGCACATGGCGGGGAATAAAACATTTAGAAAGGAAACACTATTCCTAGCCTACAACTCTGGATTTGAACTCTGCAGTTTATTTTACAAAGAAATACTCTTAAATGCATTAACAATCTTTACTGCTACTGCAGATTCTGCTGTTTTCCTTTTCTGAAAACATTTGCTTGGCTTCCAGCTCCTACTGTGTTTGATCTAGCTGCAGGGTGGTCAACTGCCTGCAAAACATGTTGACATTTTTCCTGTGCGTAACCAAGTAAACTGAAGGTACAAGGAACAGCTGATCACCACTCGTTCACCTTTAAAGAAAATTATTTTTCATCTTACAGTTTCTCACAGGATCTTTAAAGACAAAGCTGAGGAGAGATGTACCTTTTAAATAAACAGTAATAGTGAAGAACTTCTCATGAGTAAGGACAGTAAATGCAAGATTTCCTAATGCCATACCCAGTTTTAAATAAAGGTCTGATCAGTTAGTGGATTACATTCTCTAGTTTATCCTCAAAACAGGTTTCTTGAATCAAAAACACCAAAATTAATGACAAGAAGGCCTACTTCTGTAAGATGTTTTTTGCAGAAAGACTCTAGCCAATATACATAACTACACATGTATTTCAGAGACAGAAACTCAAGCCCCAGAGAACTAACTCTGTACGTTCTCCTCTATATGCAGTAGGATCATTCCTGGGGCAAAATAAGAGACTCAAGTATGTAACACAGAGTATATGCATTATGAGTTCACGACAAAGCACTTTAAAGTGATTAAATAATAATCCTTCATGAATTCAAAATACTGCCACTAATGCTGCTTAGAAAAAAAAAAAAAGCACTGCTTTTATGCAGCTCTCCTTCCATTTGCCAGCAGAAACACTAATGTCCAAAAAATCTCCCATAAAAAAAAAAAAAAACCAAAACCAAAAAAAACCCCACACAACCAAAACCCCACAACCTTAAGAGGGCCAAACACAAGCATATTCTAGAAAGACTATTAATCCTCTACAGGTCAGTAATTATGAAGTCAGAATTAAACATTAATTATTTTAGTTGTTCATGAACCAATTCTAACATTTAGAGTAATTTCTCACCATCTTCAATACTACACTCCTACTTTGCCACTTTTATGCCCAGAATTTATTAATAGCAATCTGAGCAGTCATCATCTTGCCGCTATGTTACTAGCTTCTGCTTTGATAATTTACATGAAAAATAATTTTAGTCTGTATACATATACCAAAAGACTTTTAAAGATAGCTGGGAAAAAAAACAAGCACTATAAGCAAAAATCTCACCCTGCTCACTTATGCCAAGGACAGGCAAAAATGCAGTGTCATTTAGCTTTCTGTGTTGACAACTGAAAGCTTTGGATACCATCCTGTGAAACCCTGAGATCTGGAAGCAGCACACCACCTTCCAGCTCTTAACTTCAGCCTTGGCAAACAAATCATACTAAAAAAAAAAAATACAATTGCATTCTCAAAAAGTAACATTTTTTTCTGATGACTTAGTTTTTGGACAAACCCATGTCCTGCTCTATTTCATCATACAGCTATAGAAGCATTTCAACTGCTTTGAGAAGCAGGTAAGGTCAAAATAGCTTATTTCAGCAGTAGGTAGGCCCAAATTATCTAGAATTCAGACAAACACCAAGGGGAAAAATGTAGTGAAGAGGTGGTCTGTCTTACACCAACCAGAACCAGGAGTAACCGAACATCAAAATGAACAGAGTTGAGCAGCAAAAAAAAAAGTCTTGTTCAGAATCGGTAGCTCAAAAAGACCTCCAAGGCTTAGGAGAAACAACAGAAGATCTCAGCTGCAAGGCACAGCAAAGAGAATCTGATAAAATGCTTGGGGGGGAGGGGGGGGGGACAACACACGACCAACCAAAAGCCCACACTACCTTCAATCACACAAAAGACAGCAGTATCAAAGTACAAGTAAACATCACCAAGTTGTACCAACACATACATGTTGTAATCTCAGCTACACTGGCTTCACTGTCCTATTTATTTGGTTTATTGTTTTGGTGTTTTGTTTTTTTTTTCTTAAACAATAAAATATTTTTAGGCAGCACAGTTTTCAATTATTTCTTAGCACGGTTTGGTCAGCCTACAGGGGCACACCTAGGAGCTGGGCACTACAGCACAAGAATTCCAGGTCCAAAGCAGTCTCTCCCGATTTCATCAACTCCATGAAATCCAGGGAGCTGGTGCTTTGGAGGCTGCAAGTCTTCATCTTTAGTGCTTCTACAGGCCATGCCAAAAGACAGAGCTGTAGAGTTTATTGTTCACTGGACTGCTTTCAGATCTGATTCAAAAATTGTAACATTACTAAAAATAATCTTCCAAGCAAAAAGACAATTCGCAATCTAGCATGCCAATCACAACAGTCTGTGTTACAGTAAGTACTCAATATTTATTTAAACATACAGATTTTTAGAGTTCTGCTAATGTTTCCCCAGAAAGAAGAACTGGATTTTACATATTACAACTTGTTTGAAGCATTTGAGTTTCTCAATAATTCAAGCTATTATTAAACGTACCCATCTCAGGAAAACAGAGACTAGTTCAGGATAACATCGTTGTGGCATGCTAGGTTGTCAGTGACATCCATTTGGAAAAAAACAAGGTAAGAAAAAGATCCAGCTGCTGAAATCTGAAACCTCTTCTGCTATGGAAGTTCCAAGCATTATGTGAAGACAGTGAAACCA